CTTTGGTATTCTCTATGACCACGATTTGTTTTCTACCACACGCATCTGTTAGCGCGTTGTCGATGTCGCTATGCTCTTATCCTGTGGGTTTCCATTGCCGAAAGAATGTTATTATAAAAAAAAAACTGTAACAAATATTATGGCAGTAGAAGTTCACAGATGCATTCATGTTTTAATTTGGCATTAAATTAATAAAACTAAAACACTTGATGTTAATCATATTTATTCTAGACACAAAATTTTCTCCCTCTTCTGATCACTCTAAATTTCGTATAAATATAATACTATTATCTTTTGAAAACTCATTCTGTTATTTGATTCTGATTCTGATTCTGTTATAAAACTGACACCTTTTATTTTCAATCTACTAACCTCTAGCTCACTTTTCCCGCAATAGGCAATGCATCTCATGGATATAACCGGAACTGGTGTAAATATTATTTCTATTTCTTACATTGCACACTTTTACTGTTATTTTTTCACTCATTATTTATGCTAACTTAGCACTCATGTGACAAACTTTTAGAGCAACTTCTTAATCACAATAAACGTTGCCAACACTAATCTAACCATGACTTTTCACTGGCGAAATATCTTTACAGAAACATATTGTATCTCACTCATACTCTTTGAAAAAAAGAGAGATGACTATATGTATTTGTGGGAGTGTTTCACCAGTGTAAACTCACCTTCAAGATTTGTCATTGACTGAAATCAATGTTACATACATACAATTTCTTTGTTTTCTTTACAATCATTTTAACACTATTTCAGTCAGAATAAGCATGTTGGTATTTATTTGCTTGTGCGGTGTGAATAAAAGCTTTTTCTAAATGCTAGATTCCAGCCAGCTGTTGCAAACCTTTCTACGACTGGGACACGTGGTTAAATAATAATGCTGTTCAAATTCTTTTAAATCTTTACCTATATAATTGTAGTTATTACGTATATCCGCTATTGTAAACTATATGGGAATTCTAAATTAATTTACAGGAGCTAAATGATTAATCAACCTCCAGCCAGCTGTTACAAAACTTTTTTGAAATACTCCACACCATGTTAAGATTAACCTGAACTCTTGAATTCATTCAGTCAAAATATTTGTGTGGTCTGCGACTTTTGCCTAACTATTTTTAAATATTAACTCGTAAGTTTTTGCGCATTGCCTAGATCTTGTGCATTATAGTATCAAGTAAAACGCATACACAGGTATATGTAACTTAATTTATGCTGTATATAGAAATGGATTGCGACTGACGTAAATTAGATTAACAATAATATTTTGTGAATGACAGTTTTGTTTTGAAGGTTTTGATTACTTATAGTTGGGTTTGTTTGTTTTTATTTTATTCTGATTTGTTTTGTTCATGCCAGGCTCTAAACAGCTTGACGAACAGTGCTGTAGAGCAGGCCGCAGCACCTCTGATGCCCTCTCGCAGGGACAGCGTCGGCGGGGCTACCTTAAAGTAAGTGAAAACTTTAATAAATTACTAATTTGGTGTTGTAAAAATTGCTGGTCACTGTCTTTTATTTTAGTATAATAATAT